CTTTGCTAAAGCTTCAATCTAACATAAAAGATCTCACTCTTCAAGATGTGCACACTTGTAGTTACCACGGCTTACCTGGTGAGTTGTAACCACGTGTGGTACAATATGTGATTGTTAGTGAGCAGTGGAATAGACCCCAGTGTTTTGTAAAAGGTGCCTTATTTTGCATACATCTGTATCGTTGAAAATGTGACCTCTCATCTTTTGGCCTGGAACAGCCTCCACACCACTGAGACGTACCTGGCAGGTCAATGGCATAGGTGTAGCCAAGCTGCTCTGCAGTTTGGAAGAGCTCGTCGTTGGTCACAGGAGGGAAAAAAGGGACCATGTTATACAGTCTGTTGTGACCAATGGGAGCCAGCTCCTCAGGCCAGGCATTGTCAGGGGGCTGAAACCGCTTCATCCACTCATCAAAGATGGCATCAGTAAAGGAGTGAAGAACCTGTAAACCCAGGGATGGGCATGGACACTTATTAAGCTCTTTCTGAACTCAACAGCATTTAAAACACTCTCGCCTAAGGTAGCAGCAGCTTTTGAGAGAGAAGAAGGTAATCTAATTTAGGTGGGATTTACAGAATGGTAAGCCAGGAAAGCTCATGAGAATGGAGTAGATTGACTTCCCGCGTGGGACATTTTGCTGTATATGTCCTTGTCGCTGCTTGTTCATAAGAAGCTCTTTCTCCAGACAGTTTAATATCAGCTTGCAGTGAATGGGCATGTCCATCCTCTCAGGTGAGGACCCTCTGAGCTCACTGAGGTGAATGTACCTCTAAAATGTATTTTATGCTCTCTCATGTTTGAAGAGGTATGGAAAACTGCAGGAAATTTGATTCCTTCGTGCTCACTTGATAGTGTGCCACCATTTCCACAGGTCCAGGTACCCACAAACTTGATAAGGTCTTGCCCAGTGAGTCTATAGGTCTATAAAGCATGAATATGGGAAAGTTGTTTCCAAGTTGAGTTCAGACAACTATTACAAATGTTTGGGGCAGTCCAAATTAATTTCTGATGGGCGTATGTTTTTTAATTACCACCCTGGAAAAAACTTAGAAAGTATCTCATGGAAAATAATCTTGCATATAAAATTACAGCTGAGAGAAATGAAGATTTCATTGTGTAAGAAAGGAATTCAAGAAATACTAAGGAAATAAACTGGAGAACCACTACATAAGTATTTGGGCTAATTTTTCCAACAAAAGATTACAAACTTAAAATAAAGGTAAGAAATAAATTAATTGTATTACAATTTCTCTATACAATCACTGTAGTTTCATCTAACAAAGAGGAAAATAAATTGGCATGAATTTTTTAGGAGAGAAAGATGAGTAACCAGAGTCAACGGTTGTCTTTTTATCTGTACATTGCTGTTTGTGCTGCTTGTTGCAGTGCAGCACTGTACCAATGCACCAGTGAAATCACAATTATTTCTGCTCCCCAAGAGACCTTGAAATTAGATGTGCTTCCTTTTAGCCTGTGAAGTTTCAAACAAAGAAACAAACTACTCAATTTACTGCTCTAAAAATAACTAACCCCACTTTCAGTTTTTCTTGTTGCTGTAAAATTGTCTGGTATAAGTTATTACATTTAGATATCATCTAATGAAAGGATTCAGAGCAACATGACTCAGAATAGCAGCTCTTCTCCCTAGAAACTTATCTTATATTTCACAAATCACCCTGAGATTTCTTCCTTTTTTACTTGACCATTATGCAGGCATGACATTGTTCAAGAAAAGAGGAAAAAAAAAATCTCCTTTTCTATTTAAAGGACTTATTCTTAAGGAATTCACTTTAGTTCTTTAAGGTCCCTTCCAACCCAAACCATTCTATGATTCTATGATTCTCTTTTGCAAATCTGTGGTGAGACAGCTGTTTTTATTGGGTGGGAGACCGCCTCCCTCGGACCCCCAGCCACTGCCACTCACTCACACTGGGGGAAAAAGACATACCACAAAGATGGGATCATTGGCGGCAGCATGCGGGAGAACGCTGGTCCCATTCAGGACAGAGTGAGCCAAATTATGAAGGCTCAGCATCGGTGAGTTAAGGGCTCCACCTGGTTTATCGAAGCCCTCCAGTGCATTCCTGTGGATGAGTAAAAGCAACCATCAAGTAACCATGTTTGGCTGATAAACCTGCATGTAAAGACTACCCGTGACCCGGCCGGCTCTGCAGAAGCCAAAGGACAAACCTGAAACTGAAACTGGAATTGTGAAAAAAGGGGGGGCTGTCAAACTCCTGCAAGGAAAGGCACCTCCTGACATCCTCTGCAGTGGGCAGCTGCTGGCTGGAGCCCCCGGCCGGTCCCCGCCTCAGTGGCCCTTCATTACTCCCGTTGCACAGCGTGACCAGGCGGTTGTAGTCATCCAAGCTGAGTGTGAAACAGAAAGAGGCACAAGTTAGAAGAAGGTGATGACACCTGGCTTGTTGGCTTTTTCTCCAGTAGCATAAAAGAGGCCTCGGCTGTACATGTGAGAGAGCAGGGCTTAGGGACTGACACCTCCTGAGCCGTCTTGATTCACATCCTGTGGCCTGGGACCTGAAGTTATCTCAGGACTGCCACTGAGCCACAGCTTGTCATGGCTCTGCAGCCTCTGTGGACCACCAGCAATTTAGAGCAAGACTTGCCAGGCTCATTCTCCACAGACAAGAGGATGCTATAGAAAAGGCAAGCACAACTCCCTTCACACCTACTCCCCTCCCGAGAGCTTTGGAAGAACAGTTTTTGCCAGACAGTCTAAAAAAGTCTTTTGAATTTTGAATTGAAAAACTTTTAGTCCTGGATAAGGACTAGTTTTTAGTGTCTTAACAAAGAGGAAAATGAAAAGGAAAGTCCCACTGTGAGATGGGCTAAGAAAATGCAAGGAATGACAGAAAACAGGATTTCATTTTCCATCCTTCATCTCCTTCAGAAGAAAAGCAACTGCAATGCATTACATACTGTTTTGCAGGGCCTGGAGGACATCCTGCTGTTGCAGGGTTTGCCTACTATATAGTGGGGAGCCAGTCCTTTATATCAAGGAGAGAAAGAGGAAAGGAGGATGAGAAAAACAGTGTAAAACTTGTGAAAAAATTCTATGCTGTTCAGTATAAAATTAGATGGCATTTTCAGAAACTCCTGAAGTAAACAAAAGCCCTTTTTCTGTTTAGCCGTGGCAAAGAAAAAGTTTAGTCACTTCAGCTTTCAAGAAAAAACAAAACCCTATTTATCTCAGAGGAAAAAGTAGGGGCAATATTTAAAGCCAGCTGGTGCCTAAAGCTAGAATTTCAAGTACTCAGAGACAGAAAATCTTCTGAAAAGCCCTGAGCTCTTGGTATCTCCATCTGACTGACTGCATGCTGCCCTGGATCTGACAGAAGAATGTTTTATGAGTATTGTAATACCCCAGTCCTGCACATCAAAGCCCTGCCCTCACCCAAACCAGTACATGCCTGCAAAGAGGTGGCAGCAAGTTCCTGGCTGTCTCTGTGTTTCTTTCCATGCAAAATCTCAGCCACTTCGAAATCAGTCCCCAAACTGCACTAAATATAGCAAGGTTAAGATCTCATCCAATACAAGGGAACAGATTTTTTTAGCCTATCTCTAGCTTCCTATATGTCAAAACAGTTTTCTGCTGCCAAAATCAGCCAGGTGTTTGTTACAGAGAACCAAGATGTAGGCATTTCTTCTTTAAAAATATACTTGCCAATGTGCAAACTCTTCAGATTTTTGGCAGCCTCAAATTGACTGAATCAACTGAAAACCTGTGCCAAAAGAATCATCATAAAAAAAATATATATATACTTCCATAATACCATGGGGGAAGTTTACACAGCACCATCTACACACAAACCAACCGCGACTCCCAGTTTTAAAAAAGACAAAGATGTCTTGGTTCTTTTTCTGCTACTCACACTGAGAGAGCCCATGCTCCCAGTACTGAATGAAAGCAAGGTTTGGTCGGTATGCAAGCTTGCCCTAGATATTCTTGTACCTGTTACAAACTATTTGCCACTGGGAGAACCTCGAGCTCAGGCTGATCAGCCCAGAGTCATCTGGCCGCGATGCTCCGAAGAGCTGGTCCGTGCAGACATCGCACTCGTTTCTACCCGTGGCGAAGTTCCAGTAGGGCAGCGCGAAGGAATCATTGCCTATCAGTCGCTGCAATGGACAGAAATGCGTTAGCTGGGAATCATCTTCAAATGAAAGAGAAAGAAAGGGACTCCTGCAAGTTGTTTCACTGGATATTCACTGTGTATTTCACTAGATATTCTGCTTTTCATTTTGCATTTCAACTACACGTACTTCACAGTGATGCTCCAGCTCTGTTCAAAAGATTGGAACGTTAAGCCAGTCCTAGAAAAGACATTGCCACTAGTTACCCTACTGTTCGCTTGCACTTGTTTTGGCCGTGTTAGGCCTTCTACCAACTCACAGACCAGGCAGGGGAGAGCAGGAGCAGAGATGAATTGAGCCTTAAGGAACTAAGAGGTTTGCTGAGTGATGTAAGTGGGTGATGGGTAAAATTGTGCATGTGGTTTGCTTTCGCTCCAGAAAGGCTAGCCTTGGGGAGGAATCTCAACTTGTATTAACAGAAGAATGGAGTGCATTTGCTTGTGCTTGCTTGCTAGATATGATTTCACGCAAGCAAGATCCTGCAACTGTTTTGATACCAACCATTTTCATTAAGAGATCTGCAAGGTTGATATACAGTAGCATTGCCAATGTAGAAGGAATGCAAATGGAAATGAGTCTATGCTTTGGCAACTGACTGTCAGGCACATAAAGATATATTTCTTTTAAAAATGTATTGCTAAATATATGCATGTGTTAAATGTATGGCATGGCACATTTAAAGGGGATAATATTTAGAGTTGCTTTCATTAGGACGATATCTTCAACATCAGAAGACAATATCTGTTACCAAGTTTTACATGCAGGTGTTTCTTTAATTTTATTAATAAATACTGTTAATTCACGTCTTCTGTCCTCTGTTGTGGAGATGAAGAAAAAAATCTCCATGATAACCTTCACATCATTGTTCACAATGAGAAACTCTTCAGTCCTCAGTATCTTGAAAGCACTAACTTCACTTTAAACATAAAAGGATCAATGAGCAAACACTCCTGGGAGTTTGGGTAAGAATCTATCCTAGGATGTAGCTTACCCTTGGCTGGCTTGACAAAGTCACGGAGCAAAAGAGAGAAGCTGCATAAGGAAAGGGAAAGGCTGTTCAGCTAACCTGCAGGTCTCTCTCCAGCAACAGCAAATGGTACCTATGCCAGGTAACAAAGGCAGGTCCTTGATGGGAGAAATCGATAGCTGTGAAGGGGCGACCAGGTCCTACAAAGGGAAGATAAAATAAGCACTTAGGCAATCGATGAGCCTCAAGAGAAAGAGAGCACCTTGTTCTATTGCCTGGAGTGGACTTAAACAAAAACCTGCAGCTCTGCACCTTTGGA